ATTATGATGACAATGATAATGATAGTTATTTTTAAGCATATTGAGTTATCATTAGATAACAAAATCAAAGACAACATAAATTTCTTTAGCATTTAAAATTTCAAAAAAAAAAAAATTACTGTGGATTTTCAAACCAATATTTTTTATTTATCACAGTTTGATAAAAAGTATTAAATATTATATTTCGTTATTTAATACATTTATTATTGATTATTATAAAATAAATAATTTATTTATTAACTAATGCAATGAAAATTATATCATACTATTAAATGTAAATTTAATAATAAAAACAATTTTAAGTAAAGAAAAAATGATTAATATCACGTGTGTAGCACGTGCATCTTCCTAGTAGATACAAAGAGCCGACTTAGAGTTATGGGCAAAAATTGAATAATCCAAAATACATCAAATTATGCCAAACAAAACAACCATATCTATCAGAACAATGAAAACATGCACGCCATTTATCAACAAATACAAACTCTCAGCACTGGTTTTCTCCTATTGGTCTCAAAGATCCCCAGCTGTCACCACCACTCCACACTGCAAATTTGGTAAAAGAAGAAAGCACTCCTTACTAAGATCTAATAAAGATTAGAAACAAATTAAATTAATCAAGACTTTAAAGGGAAAACCTTTCGAAGGCTGCTCAATCCAAGGACCGTTCATAACGGTAAGAATGCTGCATGCATCGCTGTATTCTAGATTTGGTAGCAATTTGGGGGTCAGCAGAAAACACCTGCAAATAAAGAACCACAGTTATGAAATTTGATTTAATTTGGAACTATGATGGGGTTTCGGTTTTTCTCCCCCTTCAAAGAAACAAAAGCAATTACTGTGGAGTATTTGGCTGGCTTGCTGCTCTGACCAATTGCTGAAACATTTTCCTCTCGTTTATGGGGTCCATACCTGGGAAAACAATTGCACATACTGACTAATCTCTTTCAGTTAATAAAGTGCATCATGCAGCAATTATATTTGAGAGCCCAAATAAAACCTTGATTGATCTCATCAACTACCCTAAATGGGCAGTTTGTGAGGTCTTGTAAAGAAACAAGGTAAAGAATGGTCGAAACTGAGCGCTCCTAGATGAAAAAAA